TTGAACTGAGGGACATTCAACCACTGAGCCACATCCCCAACCCTATTTTGTACTTTATTTAGACACAGAGTCTTACTGAGTTGCTTAGCCCCTCACTGTTGCTGAGGCTGCTTTTGAATTTGCAATCCTCCTGTCTCAGCCTCCCAAGCAGCTGGGATTACAGGTGTGTGCCACTGCGCCTGACAAGTTATTCAATAAGAGGAGTTTTTGTTAGGAGGAATAGACTGGTATATCGTCATGTATTGATTTAGACATAGATTTACAAAGATAAGTCTGGGCTCCTGCATCCACTAGTTAATTAGAAGACATGAGTTAAAAAGAGGATATGAATTTTTAAGAGGAATTAATGCAAAATGCACTCAAAATCCAAACTAACATTTATAGTCTAAACTTCTACACTTTCAGGTATACATGAGGGCACAGCATTTATGAGCATGTTTGTAAAAATCCCTTTGAACGGGAACAGGTCCAAAAAAGGTTGGGTCCTACTGCAGGTGTTACCTTCTGGCCCAATGGTTCAAATGTCAAAGGGCATGGGGTGCAGGGATGAGTGCTGAAAGGGAAGATAGATCAGAAGGGGTTACCCTAAAAGGAATGCTCTGGAAATTTGTGGAGAATTGTTTTTTTTTTTTTTCCTTCTAGTGTGTAATCTCAGCATTTACATGTTGAAATACTTTTAAACATTATCAATTGCATTCATTTCATATATCTGGCATATTAGTTCAGACATTGATTTTTAAAAATTAGATGTACTGGCAAACATTTTACCTATAATGCTCCAGAACAGTAAAGGAAACATCCAAAATATCTGTGTAAGAGAGGAAATTGTTCCTTGGGTGGGGCTCTAAATCACAGTAGTCCTTGGATTAGCAGAATCAGAACTACCTTGGAACCTTTCAGCACCCTCCAGGCTCACTGAACCAGACACGCTGAGGGCATAGTCCAGCAATGCACATTTAATAAGAATTGTTTACAGGAGATTTTGAGGCTGGAGCTTGAGAACCATGGCTTAGTCTAATGGCATCTGTAGTCACATCATTGTTAAAGGATCATGGAGGGTTACACTTTCTCATCACATCTTTCCGGAGCTCCTATGTTTTAAAATCACTGCTGCCACAGTTCTTCAGTGTGCTAAATTGTTTTTGCTGAGATTTTGAACATCAAGGGTTACCAGGAGTAGGGATGGCATTATTGTGTTTATAAAAATTGTTTACAAATCCACCCAATATTTAGGGGAGAAAACATAAGAATTCACTTTTCCCCCTCCCTCAGTGAGCAGAAAGTGCTTGGTTAAAATAAAACAGAAGAGTAAAGAGACTTGCAGTGAGGCAAGGCGACAGGGACAGAACTGAATGGAGAGAACTAAGAGGGACATGGGGAAGAGATTAAGAGAAGAGCTGTCAGAGAGATGCTCAAGGCAGTGGGTGGTCTCCTGTTTGGGAGAACAAGCACATTCGTTAATAATAACTGCAGCTTGATATTTAGATGAAGTTCTTAGACTTCTTTCCTTTGCTAGTAATGCATATTCATTCCATCTTGTATAAAACTTTGTGTTTATTAAATGTGCATCTTCTATGTTGTTTTTGAAAGTAGTTATTTATAAAAAAGTTATGGGATTTTGTTTTTTTTAAAATAGTACCAAATATAAGTGACTAAAACCAATGATTAGAATGTTTCCATACATTTTCAGTGATTAGAACACATAGTTGGGTATTGATGTTAAAAAGAGGAACAAAATTTGAAAAAAAGTGATTGGCTTTTTTCTTTAAAAGATGTCTTAGTCTAAACAATAAACATTTTTGCAAACTTTCATTAGGGTAACTTTGACAAAATACTTTTGTATAAAAACTGAAAAAAGTAGGAAAGTGCAAACATTATCTTAAAGTAATGGAGGAAAATCAGGATTTTCCTATAAAATTCTATGAAGAGAATGACAAGTATATTTCTATCTAAAACACTGGAGGACTCTGTACTATTTACACAGGACACACTCAAAGTAATGATAACTTTAAAAAGGCATTACCAGACAGTAAAACAATCTTTAGTTTTCAAAATTTTATCACTTTATACCTATATATTTCTGGAAAAATACAAATATTTCTTTTGATAATAAACCAGATCATGCTATCAATTGATTTACATTACTGTATAAAAATAGAAGATATCATTTCATATCTGATTGTTTAATAATTTTCTACATAAAACGTATCCATTATGAAAATTAACCTTTGTAAAGCCTGTGGTGGTTATTCCCTTGTAAAATTATAGGTTTTTCTTGTTAACGSCTCCTATGGTGAGACATTACCGCCACCATGTGGTACAGATAAGCACCACAGTAGGAATGTATGTGTGTATGTATGTATCATAATTATTATAACAATGATAAAATATATAAATTATATATATATATACACATTCAAAGTCAAATAAGAAAACTAACATATACTTTATTCTAAAATGCAATGGAAACGACAACAAATAAATAGCTTGATTTTCTTTCAGTTACATTATTCTAGATTCATTCCTGGTATTCGTTTTTGGTACAAGAAGTTGAACACTGATACCAATATATCAACTAGCAAAATGCCAATTATGGAATTTATACCCTTGCAACTCAAGGGAAATTCCAAAGTCTTAATCCAAATTTGCATTTTAACAAGATCCCCAGGTGAAACATGTACACACTGAAGGCCAAGAAGCACACATCTAGATCTAGTTCCTGTGTCCTTTGACTCCTATTCCATCCTTGTCCTTTCCACTCCACCTCAGAGGGAGGTGACTTAAACCAAAAGATTTAGATAGTTACGAAAAATATAGCTGGCCTGTTTAAATTACCTGATTAACTTGATTTTCCCTTCAGAGAGGTGGAAATCTTTGTTACTATTTTATTAATTTAAACTGATGGGTTAATTCCACAATGCAGAAAAATATTAAAACAAATTTCCCAGAAAAAGGGCTTGTTTAGTTTCAGGAGAGGTTAGAATATTTTATTTTGCCCTATCAGAGCCCTTCAGCATAAAGAGACATACATATATATGAACATTTTCCAGAAACAATTTATAATACATTTTTTTAAATACCAGCTTAATGGTATTTATTTACAAAAATATTTCAATACCTAATTTTAAAGTTTTGATGTAATGACAGTTTTTTTTTTGCTGATAAAGTACAGGAATGCAAAATAACTACAAAGTTTTAACACATTTTTTAGTGTTTGCAGTTTTTTTTTTTAATGATACAGTACACAGATTTTTTAAAAAACTTGTTTCAAATGCATATTCCAGCAATTACCTTTGAGATAGTTACTGGGACTGAGCAAGATTAAAAAAGAAAAAAAAAAGTGTAGCGACTGAAAAACACCTGCATGTACAGCTTAAGATACACAAGCTAGAGCTCTATACCAAGCATGCTTGCCCTTGACGTGGACAATGTTAGAAACTAAATCTTGCTCTCTCTTATATTGTCTTTTGGCAATGCATTTACAATGAACCCATAGTATAACTTAGAAAGCAAAAGGTTTTCTGCTTCTAACTACCATGTTGAGCAGAGATCACACCTAGAGTATCACAATACTGTTTATTTACAAAAAAAATAATGAAAGAAATTAAAACATGATTTATCTTCTTTGCATTACTTTCCACTGATATATTGAGTCCGTTTCAACTCCTTACATTGTTTTCAGTTGAACAACACAAAATAGCAAAAGTATTTTAAAAAACAAATTAAAATAAATATAATTCCATTGCCATTAATGTACCTCCCTTTTTAAGTGCCTCAAACGACCTACAATAAAGTAATACTGATGTATTTACACATACTATAAAATTTCAAATTAAACTATAAGCCTCATTGCAAAGTACTGGCAAAACTGACATTCATGGTTTTTTTTTTTTCCTTCATGTAAAGAGAGAAATAAAAAGAGCACTTACAAGTAGTTGTGTATTCAATTTATAAATGAATTATGACTAATAAAATTTAAGACTGTATTAGTGACTAAAGGAAGCAATGTCAGAACCCTAATAATTGGGAAGTTATGAAAATCATTTAATTCAGCTGAGAAAGGTTAGTTAATAGTTTTCTTTTGGTTTTGGTTGTAACAACCATTTTCTGTCCACAGAACCTTTGGAATTTCTGAGGCAGCAGTAAGATCATTAAATCATTAATATTCACAGGAAAAATAATTCCTATAGCACTTTACAAGAAATTGATCAGAATGATGAGAAGAGCAATTAACAAAAACTGTAAACGTATCTTCACATTCATTTTTAAATGAAAAAACAAAACAAAAAACAACCACTTTTTATGGGCATAAACTTCAATCAAAGAGAACACCCTAAGAGGAAAAAGCAAAGAAAAGAAAAGAAAAAAGAACATTTAAGATATAGCAGTTAAAAAGCCTAGGAATATTGATCAAGTATCAAACTGATAAGGAATAAATTCTATAAACTACAAAATAAAAACCTTCATTGACAAAAATACATAAACTCTGTTTTCATTTTTTGGAAATTTATTTTTAAAAAAGGTAGAAGAAAATACCTGGAAAACTATTTTAAATATATATATATATATATCTATAGTTATATTTTAAAACAATAGGTAAAGTAGGCATCCAACAGCAAGCTGTAGCTATTGAGAAAGACCTTGAAATTACTGTTGTGGGCATTTTCCCCCAAAATAAAAATAACATTTGAAAATGCTCAATAGATTTTTTGTTTTGTATTTTTAACTATATCAATAATATCTTTCCTGACATGTGAAGACTTTAAATGATGTATGGTTTTTAAAATTAATTGTATCTCGATATGAGATATCAATATTTCTTATTATAAGCGTAAAACATAACTTTTTGTATGGATAATATACATACTTTTTAAGTACTTTGACTTAAAACTTAACAAGTTCACCGTTTTTAAAATTAAAGTACATTTATAAAAATTTCATTTTAAAACCAAAAGTATATTCTCTAGCAGTATGTATAAATATAACATGTTACTGTATGATTGTAAAACAAATCTGAAAGTGTTGGAATCATTTAAGACCAAGAACACTGAAACAAATAGGAAATAATTTTACTTCTTTTTATCTTTAACTATATAAAACCCTATTAAATAAGGTTTTAAAACTGATTAGTTTGTTTAAGGTAAAGCTAGCAGCATATTCATGATTTTGGTATTTTTTATTACAATGTATCACTTGATTTTAACTGAGAAATGGATTAAATGATAATAAAAGTTTTCCTTACCTAAAAAAGTGCAGAAAAATTCAAGTTTAAAGTTCAGTGCTCTTTATTTTGCAGAAACAAATAAACAAAATCTCCAAAGTTGAAATGTAAAATAAATCTTTGCCACAAAAAATTTACCTTTGGATATAGCTTTTCCATCGTCACATGATAAATGCCTCAAGCAAAACATACATGGAATATAAAACTCAAGGTAAAACTCTAGAATATAGAACTCAAGTTAAAACTCTGAACTCTGTGGTGTCTTCCACATATTCCTTTCCTCAGCTGTTTCTGCAGTATCACCTGTAACCTAAAAGTATATAACACTTTCAGACTTGTTTAAGACACATATCTCTACATGAAATAACTTCAGAAGAACCTACAAGAAGTTGTAAGTAAAATAAATGTTTCTTTCTTTAAAGTATTATGCTGAATTAAATTGCAACATATTTACACACAATAACAGACAAACAGCAGCATTGTTTCACATCCATAAAAAATTAAAAAATTAAGAAGTTAGTAATTAGCTTATTTGAATTTATAATATCTTTTTGGAAACACTTCATATGATTGAAATGCAAACCAAAGGTGTTAATGCAAAATTCCAATTTGTTAATAGTATAAGATTTTAAATAACTTTCTAAGCAATGTATATGGATTTTAGTTTTGCAAAGTGAAACAAACTGGGTATGTGGCATGTAAATGGGAAACCACTTTCTACTGACAAAGGCTAATTGATGAATACTTCAATGATTTTAGTGCAACAAAATGCAACAAAAAACACTGACATGGATAAAGCACACAAAACTCTTTAATCTTTCTGATATTTTCTATTTTGACCTCCTTTCTTTTATTTTCTTCTTTTCTTTTTCTTTCTTTTTTCCGTTTTGGTTAGTTTTCCTGAAATCCTGGCTTGCTGGTGACTACTACTTTTTGCATTAAAAAAATATCTCTCAAATTACAATAAATTCCCTGGGTTAGTTATTAACACAGACTCTTATCTACAGACTGAATCAAGTGTTAACTCAGAAGTTTATTTCCTATGCTAAAAAAGTAGTTTAAGCTTTTTAGTGCTAAGTGAGTCTCTAGTTGCACATGATTTGTAGATTAATTTTAAAAATAAAATAAAAAACTCAAAACACTGATTTAAGATTTTCTTATAAAATCCATCTCAGGTTATTTAGTCCATCTACTTTTCTAATTTGGAAATAATTACAAGTTTGGTTCATTTTATATACAAGAAAAATGACAGTAAAAATAAAGTTGATATTAAAATAACAAAAAATAGCACAGCAAATAAAATAAATAAAGCTAACATGACCTTCCAAATGGATGGACAATCAATCAATATATTAATTTACTTAATGCTTCTTAACTTTCTTAAATCTATTACTGCTGATTTTACTGATGGCATTCACCACCAAACTATACCTATAAAAATAATCTAATATTTCCTGTGACATATCATGGAACAATGGATCTACTATTGGATAATATACAAATAAGTAATTTGTAAACTGCTCAATGTTCAAACACAGCTGATACGAACTAAACAGAAGTACGTTATTCATCAGCACTTTCTACAAATCCAAAAACTTTTGAAAATGACTGTATTTTAAAAATATTTCTTTTGACTTGATTTATCATCTGTATTACACATCACATATATTTAGGTCCTATCCAATAATATTTAAAGTAAACTTTGATGTAAACTTTTTCATCCTGCAGTGCACATTATAAAATGTAAACAAAAGTTTTCTTAGTGAAAAGAATAAGGAAGAATATATGCATAACAGAGTGCATGAAAAAGATGTTCTACATATAGCTTTAATGATCATATAGAATAGAAAAACAATCATGTTTGCAGTCAATTTGTGCTCAGATAATATCTTAATGAAAAATAAAATTACTTAAAACAATTTTTATAGAAGACAATATTAAAATTTCATTAACATTAATTTTAATGCTTCTATTTTGATCTTCCTTTGCTGCTTTAACAATAATCAATTATGATCTCAGATTAGCCTGTATTATTAGATTGCTTGCTTCCAGATCTATGGATTACTTTCCTGTCTGTAATGCTATTCTATGAACCAGTCATTCATTGTCCACAGCTATCTTAATTTGCATTGTATTCCATTACAGAAATAATTTTGTTACCAAAGTGTAAGTATTTTCCTTTTCTTTGGCTTTTTAAAACCTTGAAAGGATATGTACAGATTTTTTATTATATTTATACAGCAAATATTTTGTAGGTCATCAGACTAGACTCTTATATAGATACTTATTGACAACAGATGCTTATAGTTTTCCATGCGATAGCATGTGCACTAAGATTTAATTGGCTCATCACCTGAGTGTATTGGAACTGTTAGCAAATAAAGGGCATTTTAAAAGGGGAGCTGAGCATTTTACTGAAATAATGAAACTTTTTTTTTTTAAAGCAATTTTAATTAAATAATGCAAAGGTACATTTGGTTAAACATTTTATAAAAATTCAAGCAAAATTAAAAACTTAGCCAATTTCAACTTTTCTACAAATTTAACCAGTAACTACTTTGGTCAGATCCACCTTTAGCTGAATTAATGAGAACGAGGACAAAGGACATTGAAGTATTCTCCTCCCCACAATGGAGGTTTTTCTTACTTTCCACACTGCATAGCCACTACATGGAAACTCCCAGAATGATGAGCAATTCAGTCATGCTCTACACTTTTCTTTTCAATGAAAAGTGATGTATCACCTTGTTTTGCTTTTGACAAAATATGAACTAAACACAAGTATATAATAACAAGAATCCAAGAGTAGCCCATACACAAGTCAACTATGTGTATGATTTTATTATTTAAAGCCCACCATTCAGCTTAGTCTAAAGAAAGGGAAATAGTTTGTTTCTTTTTCACTAATGATACTGATGACCAGTCAATTTAAGGGAGGGAAAGTCCAATACAACTGTTTATAATCCAGTCCGATGACACAAACTACTTCAGMTTCAGAACTTTGGACTTATTGCCTCTCCCCAAAACAGGTCAAACACTGATGGCAGACACAACAGCATGAAATCTTTTGGCATATAAAAGTTTAATACAGGAATGATCCAAGGAATAGTCCCTGCCATGTCTCCTCAGCTTCCCCTTTTGTTTCTTCATCTGTCACACGTGACCTGGTTAGTATCCAAATTGTCAACTCACAGCCTGCACACACCATATATTCCATTTTGAGTGTGTGTGTGAATGCCCCTCAGTTAATGCCAATTGACTGAGGTAAAACAGTKCATGATTGTGCTAGAAAGTATTCAGCGATGAACATCCGTTGAATGTTAACTTTCTTAAATCAGTGAAATAAAAAAGGAAATTTTTTTCCTTCTGGCTGAAGTTGGACTTAATTGGATTCTGGGTGTCAGAACTGGTACCACTTTTTATCTTTGTATTTCAACATCATCTAAAGAGGAAGAAAGTGGGGGGCGGGGAGAGAAACATTTTTAAAATGCCAGAAAAATGGTATTTATAACTGGTTTCTATATTTTTAAAAAACATTATGTTATTCTGAAACATTCTCTAGTGTTACTATATTGCTTACTTCAAATCATTTTATTGAAAGTATTAAGAACTGTTCTATTTAGAGGAAAAAAGTGACTACAACCATTAAGAACTAGCTGGGAAGGTCCTCAAATTTCTTAAGAGAGGTGACCCTAATTTGGTGACTAAGCTAATAAAACTACAAATTACTTTTCTTTTCACTTAATAAATGAAGAACCTGAGGCTTCTAGGGGCTACTCATGTCAACATAATGGTGAACCTGGGATTTGAGTTCAGGCTGTCTGATTCAAGAAGCCATGACTGTAACCACCTCAATGTACTATCTTCCTTAGACTCTTAATATGACTGAAGAACATCTAGCAGAAGGAAAAAGCTATGAATTTGAGCTTTTTGCTAACTATTTAGAGTGTGGATATATTATGAAATCATCAAAAATGCTATGTGCCTTAGGGATCATTAAGTTAGATGGTAGAGCTCTGACAACAAAAATCTAGTCCTGGATTGAAGGCTACTAACCTACATCTGTGGTGCATGTGGGCACATCTGTTTGAGGTCCTGAACAAGTATTTCCCAGGTCATGTTACCTCTTTCATGCATTCTAGATTTCAGCTCTCTTGAGCAAAGAGGAGATGACTTTTGGTTGAAACATTAAAGATTTAGGTGCTCAAGTAAAAAAAAAAAAAATTTTGATATGGCTCCTTCAGACAACAAACTCAAAATATCAAGGGACAATCTAAGAATTAAATATGGGGAAGTACCCCATGTCAAAGCATGGAACGGCAGAAGTGCAAAAGTGAAAAAAAAATGTGTATTTTACATAAGTCTTATTTTAAGTTCAGTTTTTAAGGAGCACTATGTTAGTCCACAAAAACATGTTTATCAGAGGTCATTTTGAGATCCCTACTTTTAGCATCTGTTTCTGAGCTCTACCGTGACTTAAAAGTACTTCAAAATGAGTTCAATGCAAAATGAATCATATTAATTGGTTTCAAGATAAACTTAGTATTGTTTATTTGCATCAAAATGTTATCCATTTTAATTATTTAGATTTACCAGGCAGAATCAATGAGGCGAGTTACTTCCTTCTCTAGGATAAGGTGAGAGTATACTCTAAGGTATTAAGGAAAATTAGCATTGTTATGCATTTGCTAAGAAATAGTTGCAAAGATGCTGGCATTATTTATAGATCCTGAAGGTGAGCAGATCTTCCAAATTTATAAACTTCAGTAAGAAATCAAAGGTTACTGAGACATATTCTTGTAAAGGTTCCCTCTGGTGGCAAAAATCAGGGATTTGTGCTTGTACAAAGGATATAAGCAAATTCATGTATACAGAAATACACAGCTATATAAATATAATAATGTTCATACTTGCTTTGTCTAGGGTTTTTTGTTGAAATATATGTTGGACAGACATACCTCATGAGCATGTTTAGAAAATGAATCTGCACTTGATAACATAGCTGCTGTTCTTTCTTCTAAGTCACCAAGCTTCTGCCCTCTTTCATCCAGTGCCAACCTGGCTCGTGCCAATTCACCAACAACTCCAGAGGCTGCCCCTTTCACACCTTCAATGCCACCAGGGCCAGGGATATGCTGTGCAAGACTCCGTGAAGCTTTTCCTGAGGATGACTCTCCAACTAAAAGGATTTGATAAATGAAAGAGTTAATTCAAAAGCTGAAGATTTCTATTAATATAAAATCCTACTACAAATTTTTATTTGAACAACAATATAACTGGAATATTTATATATATAACTATTATTAATGTTTTTCTTTTATTATAATGTATTAAATCAGTTCTAGATACTTCTTCCAAACATGCAAAATACTAGGCACATTAATACCCATATTGAAATATTAGTCATATAGCATGACTTGTGCAAAAAAAGGGTGGTAATTATCTGTTGAAACGAGTAGTAAGCATACTGACACCAATTTATACAATCAAATATTATTCTTAAGAGTTCAGAAAATTAGAGATTATTAACTTAAAGATTTTACATTCAAATGTATAGATTTAAATATACAGATTTGATTTAGTTTTACCCCATAATTCCTAAAGACTTTCTCAGAAGAAAAATGAATTTAATCAGTATTCTATTTTAGACTCCAAAATTTGTAGATATCATACATTTGTTATCTCCATTTACTCTGTCTTTACAAAACAGATCAAGTTTTTCCTTCAAAGGATCATTGTTTCTCTTCCCTTCAGAATCCAGACCCTGAATGTCTAATACCTATTAAAGTCTTAAATTCTTACAAGAATTATTCCAGATTCATTCCCTCTTCTTTCACTTTACCTTTAAAGGTTAACAATTCAGTGGTTTTTAGTTTATTCACAAGGCTGTACAACCATCACTTCTGATTTCAGAGCCTTTCATCACTCCCAAAGAAGCCCCCACACCTGTTAGTAGTCAGTTTGCACTCTTCCAGTCCTTGTCAATTACTAATATAGTCTTGTCTCTATACATTTGCCTATTCTGAACATTTCATGTGATGGATTCATACAGTATGTAACCTTTCATGGCTAGTTTATTTCACTGAGAATAACATTAAGGTTCATCTATGTTGTAGCATGTAACGGTACTTTTTTCCCTTTATGTATGAAGAACATATTATTGTATGTATACATTTTGAATATCCATCCATTAATTAATAGACATTTGGGCTGTTTCCGCTTTTTGGTTATTATGAATAATGCTATCATGAACATTTACAGAAACTTTTGTGTGAATATGTTTTTAATTCTCTTGGGTATATGCCCAGAAGTAGAAATGTTAGGTCATATTGTAACTTGATGTTTTAACCTTTGAGGGAACTGTAAGACAATTTTCTGAAGAACATGGACCATTTCTCATACCTATCTGCAATGTACAAGCATTTCATGTTCTCCATATCCTTGCTAACATTTGTACATATGTCTTTGAAAGCCAACATTGTGAGTGTGAAGTGTTATTTCACTGTGGTTTGATTTGGATTTCTCAAATAACAAATGATATTGGGCATCTTTTCCTCTGCTAATTGATCAGTTGTACATTTTCTTGGGAGAAATATCTATTCAATATTTTCCCCATTTTGAAACTGGGCTATTTGTCTTTTTATTATTGAGTTGTAAGTGTTCTTTATATATTCTGGATACAAGATCTTATCAGATAGCAGATATACTACTTGCAAATATTTAACTTTCTTTGGACTATCTTTTCACTGTTTTCTTGATATATTGTTTTGAAGCACTGTTTAAAATTTTGACAAATTCTAATTTATTTACTTTATTCTTTGGTTGCTTGTGATTTAGGTGTCATATCTGAGAAACCACTGCCTAATCAAAGATCACAAAAACTTTTACCTATGTTTCCTTCTGAGGGTTTTGTATTTTAGCTTAGACTGAGGTCTTTTACCCTTTTTGAGTTTATTTTTTATATGCTGTGAAATTGGGTCCAACTTCATTTATTTATTTATTTTTTGTATGTGGATATCCATTTGTTCCAATATCATTTGTTGAAAAGTTCTTTTGGCAAAAATTGAATTTTCTTGGCATTCCTGTAGAGAAGTCCATTCTTTCACCACTGAATTTTTTTGACATCCTTGCAGAAAACCAATTGACTATAAATATTACAGATTTACTTCTGGACTCTCAATTCTAGTCCACGATCTGTATATCTATCTTTTAATATTTATTTTTATTTTTAGTTTTTGGTGGACACAACATCTTTATTTTATTTTTATGTGGTGCTGAGGATGGAACCCAGCACCCCGCGCATGCCAGGCAAGCGCGCTACCGCTTGAGCCACATCCCCAGCACATATATATCTATCTTTATGCCAGTATCCCTCTATATTGATGACTAAATCTTTGTGGTAAATTTTGAAATCAGAATGTGTAAATCCTCTTGGTATGTGCCCAGAAGTAGAACTGTTGGGTCATATTGTAACTTAATGTTTTAACCTTTGAGGTTAAAACATCAAGTTACAATATGACCTACTTTTCTCTGCCATACTCTTCTACCATGTTGCTCTGCCTCACCTTAGTCTTCTTTTTTTGGGGATATTAGTTTTTGTATGGCTATCTGTATTCCTTGCATTTAAAAAAATTTTTTTTAGTTATACATGGGCACAATATCTTTATTTTGTTTATTTATTTTTATGTGGTGCTGAGGATCGAACCCAGGGTCTCACACATGAGAGGCGTTTGCTCTACCACTGAGCCACAACCCCAGCCCCTGTATTCCTTGCATTTTGATGAGTCTTAGGAATATCTTGCTTTATGCAAAAACTCAGTGTGATTTGAATGGGTATTGTTAAGTGTATACATCAATTTGGGCAGTACTGATATCTTAATAGTCTTAAGTCTTCCAATTCATGAACATGAGATGCTGGTTCATTTATTTATGTCTAACTTTCTTTATATTTCGAAGTTTTCAGTGTACATGTCTTTTACTCTTTTTGTTAAATTATTTTCAAGGGGTTTATATTGCAAACAGAATTGTTTTTTAATTTCTTTGATTATTTGTTGCTAGCATATAGAAATGCAGTTGTTTTATACTGATCTTATATCTTTTGCTGAACTTTTTTGATAGCTGTAATTTTTTTTTTTTTGGTGGGTTTCTTAGGATCTTCTTCATGCAAGACTCTATTTGCAAATAAAGAGTTTTATTTTTTCCAATATGCATGCCTTCCACACTTCATTTTCTTGCCTAATTGTCCTTAATGTGGTGAATTACTGATTGATCTTTTCTTTTTAAAAGGACAAATCAAATTTGAATTCTTGTGCTTGATATATTATCCTTATTGGTTAATGTTGGATTTGTTATATTAATATGAAATTTTGAATTTTATATATACATTCATAGGTGACAGTTGCCTTTATTTGTTCCTTTCTCAGAGTGTTTAGGTTTTTACTAGAACGGTCGTGTTAAAATGAGTTGATAAGTGTACATTCTTTTTTGATCTTTTTGAAAAAGACAGTGTGGAAGTAGGTTTTTTCCCCTAAATATTTGATAAAATTTACTAATGGAGCCAAGTTTGTACCCAGAGTTTACTTGTGGAAGTCTGAAATGACAGTTTCAAATTCAAATAAGTATATTGCTATTTTTTTTTGTTTTTTTGTCCACCTTGTTTTTTTAAGGAATTTATTTACTTCACCAAATACATAAAAAAAATTTAAATAAAATTATGTTTCATTTCCTCATTTTAAATTTTTACTTAAAATATTTTTTAATGCATTGTAGTTATATAAGATTGTGGAGTTCATTTTGAAATATTCATAAATGCATATAATATAATTTGCTTCGATTCAATCCCCAGTACTTTTCATTTATTTTCCCTTCTCTTCCCCTGATCCTCCTTCCTCTACTCTACTATACTGTTCTTCCCTCTATTTATTATTTCTTTTAATCTGTGCATTATAGTTATACATAAAAGTGGAGTTCACTGTGATATATTCATATATGCACATAGTATAATTTAGTCAATTTCATTTGAAAATGGTAATAATAACTTCAGTGATAGCTGTTTTCTCCATCCCTACAGTGATCACTTTTTCTTTCTTTATTCTTGCTTGGTTTCACCAAAAGAATCAACATTTTTAGCTTTTGTTATAGACTAAATGGTGTGTGCCTCCAAAGCGCCTATGTTGATATTTAATCGCCAATGTGATGTTGGACATGGGGCTTTTCAGAGGTAATTAGGTTATGAGAGTGGAGGTCTCATGAATGGGATTAGGGCCTTATAAGGGCCAGAGAGCTAACTTGCCTCCTTTCTCCCATGTGAGGATACTGAAAGAAGATGGCTACCTGAAAACCACCAAGAGGACTCTATTTCAGTCAGCCTTTTCATTGCTGTGATCAAAAGAAGTGACAAGAACAATTTTAGAGGATGAAAAGTTTATGTGGTGCTCATGTTGTCAGAGGTCTCAGTCCTTAGAAAGCCAACTCCATTTCTTGGGGACTAAGGTGAGSCAGAACAACCTGGTAGAACAGTATGGCAGAGAAAAGTAGGTCAGGATGGTGCACCCAGGAAGCAGAGAGAGCGAGCTCCCATCACCAGGAACAAAATGTATACTCCAAAGGCATGCAACCCCCATGACCTACCTCTTCCAGCCATATCCTATTTGTCTACAGTTACCACCCAGCTGATCCCCATTAGAGAATTAAACAACTGATTAAGTCAAACCTTTCCTAACCCAGTTATTTCACCTTTAAACTTTCTTGCAACATCTCACAAATGGCCTTTTAGGGATACCTAATATCTAAACCATAACAGACTCTCACCAAGAACTTGACTCTACTGGAAACCTGCTCTTAGATTTCTAACCTTCAGGACTATGAGAAATAAATTTCTATTGTTTATAAGCCATCTAGTCTATAATATTTTGTTACAGCATCCCAAACTAAGACTGCTTTGGTACATATATATTTTTGCTGTGTATTTATTTACCATTTCATTGATGACCTTAATCTTTTTTACTTTATCTTTCTATTTTTCTAACTTTTTGAGATGGATGCTCAGTTTAATCACTTTAATGTTTTCTTTTTCTAATACTTAGTATATACTTAGGGCTACGTATTTTACTCGTAAGTGCTACTTTGTATAAATACCAAATGCAAAATGGTTTTTGTCTGCCTGTTGGATCAGTCAATGGGTATACTGATTGATTGGGAAATTGTCTTTTCTAATAGTCATCTCAATATTTGTTTTTCTTGACTTTAAAGAGAAAATATTAGTTGTATTCAAATAGTGTTTTAATGTCTAGTTTTTATGACATTAATAGACTTATACCAAGCTGACTCTTCATTTGCCCTGATGCTTTTCCATCTTTTAAAATTTCAACCTTTGTGTCCTTAGGCTTTAAAGGTGTTTTTTTTTTTTTACATGCAATGAACATTTCTTTCACTTTAAAATTTTTCCTTGTCTTTTAAATGAAACATTTATTTTACCTATATTTGCTACCATTGTTTTCATTTAAGTTAAATCTGTCATCCTTTATGTGCTTTGTATTTATCCCACTTGTTTTGTGTTCTTTCCTTTCTTGCTTTCTTTTGGAACAACTGTGGTTTTTCCTACTATTCATCTGGAAGTTATAGGCCATTATTCTAGATTTTAGAAGTTACTCTAAAAATTATAACTAGTAATTATACTTATATTCTTATACATCAATTTTCCCCAAATCATTATTTTCTACACCTATGACATTCCAATGAGAATAATTTTCTTTTTATCTCAAGCACACCTTTTAGAATTCCCTTGCATGTGGTGACAAGTCTTACTGCTTGTTCATTTGCTTAAAAATGTTTCATTCTTGAAGGCTATTTTCTTTGTGTATAGAATCATAAATATTATCTTCTATCAACATATAAAAGAGCACCTTATTATCTGTTAAGTCATGTATCAGTCTATAACATGTTAAAAGACACATCATTTTTCTCTATCCAGTTTAAAGATTTTTCTTTTTATGTTTATTGTATTATATAATTTTTATTGTATTATATAAGTATATCTAGTTGATGAGTTTATTAAAAAACAACTGAAATTCATTAGACCTCTTAAATTTGTGCATCAGCATCATTTATCAATTTAAAAAAAATTTAGACATGTCTTTACATATTGATTCTTCATATTTTATATTTCCTTCTTGAGGTTTAAATATGTATTAGATTTACTCACTGCAAGTTCTATTTTGGGGGGCTCTCCTCTATACTCTACATGTTTTTGTTTCTTTGTGACACATTTTGGATGGTTTCTTCTTTAAGTTATGAATTCTCTCTTCATAAGTTGTCTAATTTGCAACTTATGCCTATTCAGTGACCACCATTTTGTTTTTTTCATCTTTAGTTCAGTACTTCATTTTAGTTTTTTCCCTTTCTATGGAATTTTTATTTATCATCATGAACATGATATAAGTTGACCAACCCTAATCCAACTGTCCAGAATCCAAAACTTTTTGAGAGCTAACATGATGCTCAAAAAATTTCAGATTTTGTAGCATTTCAAATTTTCAGATTGAAACTGGTAAAAGTCTATACAAACATTCAAAGACTCTAAAAATTCCAAGGACTGAAACACTTTTGCTACCAAGCATTTTGGTTAAGGGATATTCAACATGCATGAATAATTACTGCATAGTTTGTGTCTGCAAATTTCAGTATTTTAAGTGCTACAATCCTAATTCTGCTTTTTCTGTTTTATTTTTCAATGTTCCCAGTTATCTATGACTATATGACTATATACTTAAAAACCTATATTTAAAGATTTAGAATATGTTACCTCTTTCAAAGAAACTCATCCCACCTTCCTCACCCATTTGCTAGGTTCTGAGGAGTCCAGCAGTCTGGGAAAATCTTAATGAACACTTAAAGTTTTCCAAGTCACTCAAATAATTTGAAGCTGTGCTGAAGTTTGTGTAGACAAAGGCTAGTTTGTTCCCAATTCACCCTTACTCTTAAATTGTAGCCCTTTGGGATTCTTGCAAAGAGGAAGAGTTATTTCAGGATTCCTGTCCTTGCCAGGCCTGGGAGACTATCCTGCAAGCCCTAACACAGTTATGTATCTCAGCTTCCTACTTCAAATAAGCAGAGTATTCCCGGATAGGTTCAGCACTCTGGATTCTCATGCTTTCTCATGGATACTATACTTCCTGCTAGAATTTGGAAAAGTTTGAAGAAGTGGGCTAGAGAAAGTCTATAATGCTGGAAGTGGAGCTTAATGGATAATATTGGTGGGGCCTAGGTAGAACAGAATGCTGACAGAAATGCAGAGAGTAAAGGCTGTACTGATGAGGTGTGTGATAGAAATGAGGACACTCTTGGGAATTGAATTAGAGGCCATTTGTGTTATATTTTGGCAATTTTTTTTTCCTTACATTTTGTCCATGCCTTGAGACTAGTGAGGCTGAGTTTAAAGGTGACAGACTATTTAATCTGGTAGAGAAAATTTCAAGGCAGCACAACATTCAGTCAGTGCCATAGATAATGCTGGCTGCTTTTAGCCAAATTTACATTACAATTGGGAGCACAGGGCACAACAAAAAGCATTAAAAAATTTGCAGTTTGGCCAGAATATATGTTTAAATTTAAGGTCAAGGAGGGTGAGGGTATTGAAGATTAGAAACTTTAAAAAGAAGCCAAGTACTGTGCWTTGAGACAAAAGGAAAGATCACTTGAAGGCAATTCAGGAACAAGCAAGACCCTACTCACTGTAGGTTCAAAGGCTTTTGTTTGAGAAAACAGCTCTGAGGGCATAAGATTTGCTAGCACAAGACCACTTAGTGAATTTTTTTTGCCTCTGTTCAGCTGTCTAGGGACTCAGAGACCAATGTAGACTTGGTCCATATAGGCATGGATTCTGCTCCAGTTGCTGGCGTACCCTGGCACTGTCCACTGATGCTTGTTTTGCAGACATGTAGAATCTAAGAGTTATGCAGTCATGGAGGTTTCTACTGAGATTAAAAAAAGAAAAAAAAAAAAACAACAAAAAACAACCAACCAAACAAAGAAAAAACAAACCCACAAAAACAAACACACACAAACAAAAAACTAAACCAAACTAAACCCTGGGCAATCAGGCAGTGTGTGTGGCAGTTATAAGTTTCTGAAAGCATACCTTGACAGGGCAATGAGTGAATCTGTGAGAGAGAAGCGGAAGCTGTAATGGAGATCCAAGGAAGTGACAGAAGCTAGGAATGGTGGAATACCCAATGAGGGAAGCTACAGGCAAGTAGAGCCAGCAAAAGAGAAAGGCTTTGTGGCTACAGTCAGCAAGGCTATAGGAGCAGGGCTGCCCAAGCATTTTAAGAGCTCACAATCATGCCACCATGGCATGCCAGACATGGAGCTATGCTTTGCATGCTGGATTTTGGTCTTGCTTTGGTCCCATTCTTACTATTTTTCTATTCTTTTCTTTTGAAATGGGACTGTTTGCCTTGTGTYGTTGCATCTTGAAAATATGTAACTTTCTTTTTGATTTATACAGGGGCTCATAGCTAAGAATTTCCCTTGAGTCTCAGAGGAGACTTTGGACTTAGACTTTTGAGCAATGCAGAATAGTTGATAATTTGGGAACTGAATGCATTTTGCATTGTGAGGTAGATATAAGTCTTTGGAAGTCAGAGGYTGGCTGTTACAGTCTGGATCTTAAGTGTCCCCCAAGGGCTCTTGTGTTAAAAGTTTGGTTCCAGCTCATGCCAGGGTTAGGACCTGGTGGAACCTTCAGGAGGTAGATCACAGGGAAGGGAAGTTGGATTACTGGGGATGTGCCTTTGAAGGGGAAATTGGGATCCTGGCCCCTCCTCTCTCTCTGGTTAGCTGCTGCATGCAGTGAGGAGCTCTGCAATATCACACACTCTCTACCATGATGTTCTTAACCTTACCACAGGCTCCAAATAACCGACTATAGACTGAAACCTCTGAAACTGAGCTTTTATAAAAGAAATCTTTCCTCCTTTTAAGTTGCTTTTCTCAGGTATTTTGCATGGACATGAAAATCTGACTGACACAGTTATTAACTAAGGGCAATCACAGAAATAAAATAATGATGATCACATTTAGTGTAAATAAATACTCTTTAAATTATTCATGCAATTTGTGAATACTTCTTTTTAGCCACTTGAAACTATTCTGATTTTGGTTCCCTGAGAAACATATTTTCTTGATTTGGGACATAAAATAAATAAATAATTTTATTTATTCTTTTAAAATATGAATATATTATTCTGACAAAGAGGGAAAGAGTGAACATAATTTTATACATGTAAAAAAATTACATGACTTGAATATTTCTGTACTACGAAGATATATCATCCAAATTAAATAAATCAACTTACATAGTTCTTCTCTATCAAGGGACTGTGCACCACCTCCAAACAAGCCTTTAAAGAATCCCCTGTTTGGTGCTTCAGGTGTTTCTACAGGAGTGAAGAGTTCACCCAACATCTCCTTTAAAATCAAAACAAATGTAATTGTTAAAGCTTCAGAGAAACTAAACTGTATTAAAAACATCACTGTAAACTCTCCAATGTAACTTTAGAACATTAGCTTTTGAGATTCACAAACAATTAAGCAGAATATTTCGAACAATCAAAGTACTTACTGAATTGTTCAACAGTAAGTTTCTAATATACAATTTACTAAGACTAACTTGCTATTTGCTCCTTTTACTGGATTACCTTTTTTGCCCTTCAGACAAAGATGATATTTCTGCTTATACTGAATGGAGATTTTAATCTTCAAGACAAAATTTTCATGTAATTCTTATCGAGATCGAGAATTTATAATTTGGCTTTCTTACATTAGAAAGAATTATACTTTCTACTAGCAGGTCAAGAATTTCAGTGTAATAATAACAAAATATAGAATGAGAATTACAACCTTGAGCTGAGTTAGAAAATCAGTAACTTTTATATATCAGTTTCCTTTTTCATGAACAAATACAGGAAAATAATTATGCTAATATACAACTGGAATTTTATACAATTCTGTTAGGGACATGAGAAGGGTTCCTTTTACATTGTCAGATTTTCCTGAAATTACTGTCAATATTCTTCAGGGAACATTAATGGTAAAAGCCAGTTTAGAGAAAGGAAAGACTGCTGACATGCTACTGATTTTGCTGAGAATACATGAAGAAGGAAGAAGAGCTTCTATTAGAAATGGATGGTACAACATTATTTACAAGGCAGCTATAAAAGTAAATTAAAAATATATTGAGTTTTGGGATTGTATTTTTCTCTATTAAAGAGAAGCAGTTACTATATAAAGGCCAAGTACACTATGGCTCCAGGTAGGAGTTTTGCTGTACTCTAGTATTACATTATAGTTGGGGTAAAAGTATGAATTTTCATGGTTACTTCCTTAGGGCTAGGCTAAAATAGAATATACAAAAGTTTTACTTTCAGACATATTCATGTTAATGTTGTCTCTCAAGTCAGATGGCAAACAGGAAGAGATAATTATTATTATTATTTWTTTTATTTTATTTTTTTTTAGTTCTCGGCGGACACAACATCTTTGTTGGTATGTGGTGCTGAGGATCGAACCCGGGCCGCACGCATGCCAGGCGAGCGCGCTACCGCTTGAGCCACATCCCCAGCCCAGAGATAATTATTAATACTACAAGGCACAAGTTTCATTTATAATAGTTAAGTGGACTTAAGGCCTTCCATTTTAATTTTGTTTCCTTTGGAACTGAACAGACATTTCACAGAAGAAGAAATAGAGTCAAAAAATATATGAAAAAATGCTCATCTTGTGTAGTAATTAGAGAAATGCAAATTAAAACCACACTGAGATTCAATCTTATTCTAGTCAGGATGGAAATTACAAAAAATACAAGTAACAATAAATGTCGATGAGGTTGTGGGGAAAAAGGTACCCTCATACATTGCTGGTGGGACTGTAAATTGGTGCAACCACCCTGGGAAGCAGTATGGAGATCCCTCAGAAAACCTGGAATGAAACCACTGTTTGACCCAATAATTGACCCAATTACTCCACTCCTAGGTATATACCCAAGGGACTTAAAATTAGCATACTAATTTGACACAGCTCAACTCACATCATCTAAGCTATGGAAGGGCAACCATCCTAGGTGCCCTTCAACAGATGAACAGATAAAAAAATGGGGGATATGTACACAATGTAATATTACTCAGCCATAAAGTAGAATGAAATAATGGTATTTGCCAATAAATGGATGAAACTGGATACAATTATGCTAATTCAAAAAAGCCAACTCTCCAAAACCAAAGTCAAAATGTTTTCTCTGATATGCGGATGCTAGCACACAATAAAGTAGGGGTGGGTAGAATAGAAGTTTATTGGATTAGCCTAAGGGGAACGAAGGGAATGGAGGGGCGATGCAAATAGGAAAGACAGGAGAATCAACTGGACATAATTTTCCTATGTTCATATATGAATACATGACCACATCATGTACAACCATAAGAATGGGATCCTAATTAGAATAAGATACATCCCATGTTTGTATAATATGTCAAAATATATTCTACTGTCATGTGTATCTAAAAAAAATCCAAATCCGAAAAGGAAAAAATAATTGTTTCCTTCGGATTTTTAAAGTATACAGAATTGGAATAAAAACATCAAAAATTTAATAATTCAAACTTGTTAAAACTACCATAGATATATTGAACCTATTATCACATGGAATTATGTTAGACTCTATCAACATAAAATTAATTTTAGGCATATTTCCAACCTTCTTAAATTGTATTTTACAGATCCTAATTTATATTTATACTTTTGATAGATCCTTTTACAGATTTTATTGGTCTTAAAAATTACTTAATTCTATTGTACTGATATAACTATAGCAACAATAATGGCAATACAACTATTATTTGAGCGTCTAACATGTTAAACCAAGAGTAATATGATATTTATAAATAGTGATAGTAAAAGATGTGCTTACATTTATTTAACCTTACTTTAAAATTATGACTTATATTTCCTAACTTATTTTGTATTTAATGAGCTTGCAATTATATAAATGTAGAGTAGGAAATACAAGGGAAAAAATTACAATTGTAGAGAGTCACTGTATTCCATGTAGAATGAACATAAACTTTGAAAACAGATGTGAGTTGGATTCTTTGCCTTTTACTAGCAGAGGAAACTTAGGCAAATCAGTCTCTTAGACAAAGGTTTCTTTGATTTCCAAAAGGGAAATGATACCTGTCACTCAGAAATATTAATAGGATTAAAGATAATAAACACATAAATGCCCAAAACAGATATTAATGACATAAATACAAAATATAAAAATATCCTTTTTTACAGAAAGAATTTCTTTTTTTGTAAGAAATAATTTTTTAGAAAATATACATGTCATTTTTCAAAAGGTTAACATTAAAATCAGATATCTTTAAATGAAGTTTGAAATTAAATGTATGAGGTTACATTATCCAGAGTGTATGAATTTGGGGAAAACACTAAATAATATGTGCTTTCCATGTACTTAAATAAAGATTTTTAACTGTGATTAATTTTATTATTTAGAATTATTAATGAGTAGTAAATGTTGGTAAAATCTAAAATAAACTTGTATTTTCTTTGGCTATCTTCCAATGTCTATGCATAGTAAACTACATCTAGGACTTTTAAACTAATCTAACATGTAAATACACAGAAGCAAATGCACTTATCTGATTTTTCACTCTTGGAACTTACCTCTCTTATATGTGAGTTAACAAGCTTGGGTAGTAAAATTTAGGATTAATTTCATAAATGAATCAAAGTTTGGGCTTTGGGTATCATTGTACACTTTTTTCTAATACACTAAATAACATCAATTTTAATAATTTTAAGAAAAACCTATGTTGTAAGACTATTGAATCTAAAAAATAAGAATGCCAGAGATAAGTGCATCTATATACTTCATACCAAAAGTATAATACGTTTAAGAAAAGTTAATAGTTCAACTGGAATCAGTTTTTTATAGTGAGTACTTGAGGTTTTACTTATAAACATTATCTTGAGGTACTTAGTAAAGTTACTTACTACTTGTTTAATTAAATGATTTTTTACTTCTGTTTTTTTTTTTTTTTTAAATATGGTGCTGAGGATCAAACCCAGGGCCTCACATATGCAAGTAAGCGCTCTACCACTGAGCCACAACCCCAGCCCTTTATCTCTATGATTATGGTAAGTTTTATTTAAGGGATCAAAATAGTCTCTTTGGAAAAATAAGATTGTAAGCTGCTTYGTGTTTTTGCTTTAGAGTATGATTAAAATAATGCTACATAAAGAAACTAAAGCATTTCAGTCTATAAACATGTACTTTGGCTAATTGCCTTTCAATGATAATAAAAATTCCTCAATTTATTATTTTTAAAGAGTTTTTTGAAGCATAATTGAAGTACAAAATTGTACATATTTAAAGTGCACAATTTGGAAAGCCACCTTATGTATATGCCCATGAAATCACTACTATAATCAAGATTATGAATATATCTGCCACATCCAAATTTACTTATGGTTCTTTGTGAAAACTCTTCTCACTTCTCTATTCTCTATCCTCAAGTAACTGCTGATCTGCTTTCTTTACAATATATTTGCATTTTCTTGAGTTTTACACACAATATGTACCCTTTTACTTTGCTTCTTTCACTCAGCATAATTATTCTGAGATTCATAAATGTTGATTATATCAACAGTTTAGAAAACATACAAACAAACAAACCCTGAACAACTAGGATTAGAATGACTGGGTGTCTGGTTTACAAAAATTTAACATTTTAAGAAATTGTTAAACTTTTCAAAGTCGTTCTGTATTATATTTCTACCACTACTGTATGAGAATTCTATATCCTCTGTATCTTTGCCTAAAACTTGACATGGTACTCTTTTAACTTTTACTATTTTTAACAAGTATTTAATGGTGTTTCTATGGAATTTTAATTGGCAGTTTCCTAATGATGAATGATGCTGAGCATCTTTTTTTGTGGTGAAATGTTTTTTTTGAATAATTTGACCATATTTTTAATTGGGCTGTTTCTTTGCTGTCAGTTGAGATTTAGATTTAGTACCTAATCTATTCTAGATATAAGATTTTACTAGATACGTGCTTAACCAAATTGTAGTCTGTGGCTTGTCTTTTAATTTCAACTAAGGGTCTTCTGAAGAGTAGGCATTTTAAAGTTTGTTGAATTTATCCAATTGTTCATTTATAGACAGTGCTTTTGGTATTGTAGCTAAGAAATCTTTGCCTAAACCAAGGTAACAAATATTTTCTCTTATGTTTCTTGTAGAAATTTTATAATTTGGGAGTATACATGTAGGCCCACAGCCCATTTGAGCAAATTTTTGTGTATAGTATGAGATATGAATGAAAGCTCATTTTTGTTTTTGCATTTCAGTATTCAATAGTTTCAGAATCATTTATTGAAGAGGCAATCTTTTTCCACTGCACTGCCTTTTTCAAAAATTAGCCGACCATATAGTATATACACACATACACAGGCTTATGTGTGGATAGTCCATTCTGATCCTTTGACCTAATATGTCTATCTTGATGCCCATAGCATGATCTTTGGATTACTTTATAATTTACTTTATTAGCTTTATAATAATTCTTAAAATAAGGCTGTTATTAGCCATTCAATTTTTTCTTTTTTGAGTTATCTTGCCTATTTTTCTCTTGCATTTACATATGAATTTCAGGTTAAACTTTTTAATTTCTTACAAAAAAATCCAACTAGGATTCTGATTGGATTATCTTGAAAATATAGATCAATTCTAGAAGAATCAACCTCTTATTGAGTTCATGAGTCAGAATCCATGAATGAGGTGCATATTTCCATTAGATTTTTAAAATTTTTCTTTCGTTAATATTTGTAGTTTAGCTGGAGGTCTTTCACATTATGTGTTGAATTTATCTCTAAGCACTTCACATTTTTGTAGTTACTGAAAGTAATATTGCATTTTAAGCAATAATGTTCAAATTTTCACTACTAGTACACAGAAATAAAACCATTTTTATATAACTGATCTCACACTGTGCACTCCTGTAAAACTCAGTTATCAATTCTAGAAGCTTTCTGGGTAGATCTTAATAGATTTTTTAATTAGATGATCACATCATCTATCAGTAAAGACAGTTACACTTTTTCTTTCCAATGGGGATATTCCAACCCTCACACCCTGCCTTCTGTTCCTTGCCCAAATGTTCAGATTAGAACCTTAAATATAATATTGAATATAAGTGCTGAGAGTGAACATCCCCTGGATGTGAGTTTTTCTTAGATGTTCTCAAAATCTCTTTTTATTCCATGTATGCTGAGATTTTTGTCAGGATTGAATGCTGGGTTGTTTCAATTGCTTTCTTTCTTTCTTTCTTTCTTTTTTTTTTTTACTTTTTGATATGATGAATTACATAGGTGAATTTGTGAATGTTAAATCAGCTGTTTTCCTGGAAAAACCCTCACTGGCTCGTAATGTATTTTCTTTTTTAAATACTGTTGAATTTGCTAACATTTTTAGAATTTCACATTGATATCTGTGAGAAATATTGATTTAAGTGTAGTGTTCTTGTTATGACCTTGTCTAGATTTGGTGTTAAACTAATTTTTGGAAGTTATGTAGAAAAGTTATTTCTTCCTGAAATATTGAAAGAGCTCAACAGTGAAGCTATTTAGGTAGGCCTAGAATTTTCCTGGTCCAAGGTTACTAATCTCTATTTCTTTAGTTGACAAATACAGTATTAATTAGATTATTTTTTCTTGAGTGAACTTTGATAATTTGTGTCTTAAGGAATTTGTCCATTTCTCGAAGTTTTTGAATGTATTGACATAAAGTTGTTCATCATATTCCATTATTCAGGTAATATCCATAGACTACATAGTAATAAAACTTCTTATTCCTACTACTGATAAGTAAATTTTCTTTGTAATCAGTCCCACTTGAGATCAATTTTGTTGTGTTGTTCTTCTCAAAGATCATGGTTTCAGTGATAATTTTGTTCCTATTTTCTGTTTCACTGATTTCCAACTGGATATTATCTTAATCTATGTACTTAAGTTCTTGATTTTTCAGTTTCTTAAAGTGGAAACTGAGGTCACTGCTCTGAGATCTCCTTTTATTAAGTAGGCCTTTAGTGCTATAAATTTGCCCCATGTTTAAATACTCAAGTTATTTTTTTATTATTGTGCTTTCAAGTTCACCAATATTTTTTCTGCCATGTTTAATCTGCTGTTAATGCCATTTGTCATATTTTTCCTCTCAAATACTGGTTTCTCATTTCCAGAAGTTTGACATTGGTCTTTTGTATTGTCCAAGTCTCTAAGTTTTAAAAATATCTGGACAGTTATAAATACATGTTTTAATATTCTTCTGTGCTGATTCTAACATCTATGTCTATGATGAATATCGGTGAATATCCTCATTGTGAGTCATGTTTTTCTGTCTCTTTGCAGACTTGGTAATCTAACTGGATCAGAGATCTTGAGATTTTTACCTTGTTGGGTACTGGATATTTTTGCTTTCCTCTTAAGTTTTCTAGAGCTTCCCTCTGGTATATTAGGAGTAATTTTGAGTCTTTTGGGTCTTGCTTTTTATGATTTATTAGGCAGATCTGGAACACTGGATGAATAATGGCTACTCAAAGATATCAGGTTCTAATCCCTAGAAACCAGAAGTGTTACCTTGTACAGAAAAAAGGGTCTGTACAGATATGATAAAGTACCTGTCCTGGGGAATTTATCCTTGATTACCTGGATGGGTTGCAAATCCAATTACAAGTATCATTTTAAGAGGGAAACACAGAGAAAACTGTGACACACACAGAAAAAAGAAGGCAGAGTGAATAGAAGCAGAGATTGGAAAGATGTGGCTATCAATCAAGGAACAGCAGTAGCTAATAGAAGCTATAAGAAGCCAGGGATGGATTTTCCTCTAGAGGCTCTGGAGGTAGTAAGGCCCTGCCAGCACCTTGASTTTGGCTCAGAGAAATTGATTTTGTACCTCTGGCCAGACTCATGAGTAAATAAATTTCTACTGTTTTTGGCTACTAAGTTTGTGGCAATTTGTTAAGCACTCAGGAAAATAACATACCCATGTAAGTTTTTCCAGTCTGGCTATTGGTAATAAGCCCTGTTCCTGGACCTGGGATCAGGCATGGTTTCTGCTAATCCTTTATTCCTTTCAGGTGGTTCTTTCCAGGTCAGAGAATTCAGTCACATGTACAGTGACTGAACAGTACTCTCCTGAATACTCCTAGAGGACTCCTAGAGCACTCCCTGAAGACCTCCAGGGTTCTCTCTGTCTGCAGCTCTTTCCACTCTAACTTATTTGGTATTCCCAAACTCTTAGTTCTGCCTCCTTAAATTGGGCAGTCTGTCAGGCTTTGCCTCAATACCTTTTCTTCATGCCATATCCTAGAAACTCCATGAAGGCACTAAGACAAAGGGATACTACCTTTGTTTCCTGTCTTTCAGGAACTGTTTTTCTTCCTTGCCAGATGTCTAGGATGTTAAAAACTATCATTTCATGAATTGTGTCAGGCAAGATTGTTTCAGTAAGGCTGTTTATTCTACCTAGGCAGGAAACTCCATTAATATTGGCAAACATCTGCATTTATTTTTATGCTTTTTGGGTAAAGTAAAACGAATGTACAATATAAAAGGACATTCAGGAAACCAATAAATAGTGTTTATAAATAAAATTCATAGAAGTTTTCATTTAACAAGTCTTATTGAAAATTCAGAAGTAAATAAAATGTTAATATTATCCAAAAATTCTATTGTAAATTCCTTGAAGAAAGTCCTAAAAAAATTTCCTTAAACACATAAGTTTACTATGGCTGCTACTAACTTTCATTAAAAACAAACAAACAAACAAACAAACAAAAAACTGACTAAAAGAGAAAATAAATTATCTCAGAAAAGTAATACGTTTAGAATTTTGTATAGTTCATACCACAATTCAGATTGAAATGAATTGAGAATGTACTCAATTGTTTGTATTACTTTTTAATATAATAATGTTTTACTAGTGAAAGAAAACACTAAAAGGAAAATCTTGAAGGTTTACCCTTCTCATTAAAAGCAAAATTTTACTTCAAAGCTTAGGAATCTTTGAAAAACAACTTTTACCCAATGTAAATGGGAATTTAAATCTAAAATATAAGCTATAATTTTCTTTTACTCTCAAGGTTAACAATAATATCATTCAGTATAAAGTTCTCAATAAGCAAAACATACTGAAAAAAAAACAACATATAACATTTATTAAGCACACTCTATAAGGCTGTATAAGTATTTTATGTGTATTATCTCCTATAATCCATACCTACTGTCTTGGATACATATTATTTTATCCTAATTTTAAAGACGAAGCTCAAAGACATTAAATACATATTTAAAATCATATAACTTATTTAATATTCAAGGGTGAACTTGAATTCAGTCATATTCTAAAAATAGTAAGCAGCAAACTCAAATTTCCTTTTGAGTAAAATTCAGCTAATTAYAAGGCATTTATATGAAGTCCTATTAGATAGTAGTTTCCCCTAAATTTCAAATATCAAGAAATATTTTAACTCAATATTTCAAGACTTTTGTTTTAGAACATGGAACTATAATAATTATTTTTAATACACATGCAAGCTAACAAGGTACATTGATACTAAAAAAAAMCCCAAAAAACAGTTTCTTATTTAATGCATTTGTTCACAGCCTCTCATAAAGAAATCAGTGAAATCACTCAGAGAAAAACTGATACTTTTCTTTTAGGTATAAATATCCTTGTGTATATAGAATATATAAAAAGGAATCACATAATTTGCCCTAAAATATATAATTATTTTCACATTGAACTACTTGTTTAAAAAGGACATATGTGCATGTGGGCAATGGGTATAAAATATATATATAGTTTTTCATATTTATTTTCTATCCCTGAAAAGATAAATATGGATCAATAAGATGAATTCTCTGTATAAAGATGCTTTTATCATAGGTGTTTCAAAGTAGTGCTCTGAAAGTTTAACAAAAAGGTTTTGAACTTTCTCAAGTAGGCTCATTTGTACACTCCCATGAGAGAAACAAACAGACAGCATAAGGGCCTTTACAGAATACATTACCTCTGAAGAAATCACAGTAAAATTTTTGTTATTTACCTGAAGATTTTCACAGGTCTCTTGACTATATGTAAGTCTCTGAATTTCTGTAGGTGAAACAAGATATAATGCTTGTCCATTGTTGGTGAAGCAGAATGTTCTGGCTATCCGCATATTGGTGAGAGGCAAGTAATACACATCCAACAGAGGCCTTAAACTTGGCAAACTTGAAAAAATTAAAAACTTATTAACAATAAATACGGCAGGTTTTAAGTCGTGAAAAGAGTAATACAGAAGTTAAAAATGGCAGGGACTTGTAAAATCTTATGATTTAGTTTATAACCCTTAGTGGGAATAAAGAATGATCTGTTTTCCTCCTATACTTGTTCACTATTAACCGAATGAAAATAGTGATAATGTATGAGACTATAAATAAAAAAGCATTTCTTTTAAACTAAATATAATTCTGAAACATGATTTGGGGAAAGAAATGCTGTGTCTTTAAAAAACTCTTTCTTACCTGAAAGTCATAATATGGCCATTAGCACAGAAACATGCAAGGCAGATGCTGTTATTCAATGCTACAATATCTCCACGAAGCACAAAGGAGGTCTCTGTAATGTTTTGCTTATAAGCACAGTTCTGGGTTGGCAGTGAGATTACTTTTGCTTGCTTTTCAGAACATATCACTGCATATTGGTTTTCACTAATTTCCTGAGAAGAGGAGGGAGATACTGAGACAGGTCGCCGTTTTTTCAATTTTTCTTTTTCATCCTTTTCTTCAGGAACATTATGTTCTTTCCAGGGTTCATATGCCGGTGGCAATAAGCAGCCTGTGGTATCCAGAAATGCCATTCTCAGGACTGCACCTTTAAGTCTCAATATAGTACCTAAAATTAATAAGTTTAGTAAATAATTGAAATATTTTATTAAATATGCTTATTCTAACTCTGACACCAAGTAAACATTCAAGAGTATGCTGAATGAATGTTACACTGAAATTATGCACTGGGTCACCGATAGGATACAAATTTCAAGCATTATATTTATGCTTGAACTTGTGAGTTTGGAAAAATATATCAATACTACATATCCCAGATAGATAAATGCTGCTGATAATTTACAATCAAACATGATAGACTTTGTAAACATATATCTAACCTATAGATTAATAAACAATGGTATGCTGAGTATCTGGAACTATGGTCTCCTTTTATACTCAGGTAAGTGCACTACCAATGCATATGAGAACATATTGATAGCATATGGCTTCTAGAGCTACATTGTCAGTATGGCAGCTACTAGCCACATATGGCTTCAGAACACTGGAACTGTYGAAACTGTGGTAGATAATTGTGCTGTGCAATGAGAATAAAACAGATGCTAGACACGACGACTTTAGTACCAAAAGAAAAAAAAATATTTCAGTAATTTAAAAATATAGATTATATGGTGAAATGATGGTATTTTTGATACACTGGGCTTTATAAATGTTACTAAATTTTGTCAGTTTATAGTCTTGATTCTGCAGTTACACTGACTGATTTGCTTTAATTAGTGGCATCCTCCTGAAAAATGTACACATGTGCTTTATGCTAATTTCTAAGTACACTAAATGAACATAAAAGTCCAATAGATGGAGGATGCAGAACTAATTTAATCTTTCTAACTTTTAAAAAATGATCTTCATATATTATTACTTTATATTCACATATTTTCTAGTCTGCAAATTTTTTTCCATATATTATTTTCTACCAATTTTAAGAGAAAGAGAATAAGAATAAAAGAAAATGAGAGGTTCTCTCAAATATTTTCTTAGGAGAAAATATATTTTTTCTTTCTTTCTTTCTTTTTTTTTCTTTTTTTTTTTTTTTTACAAATATATGTTTGCTGTACAGTAGGGCTGCCAGCAGGAAGTTAAACTTGAATTTCAGATAAATAAATCTTTAATAAAATATGTTCCTAATACTAGGTATCTTTCTAAATATAGGATGTGCTTACATTTAAAAGGTATTTGTTTTTGSAATTAAAATTTGGGCATTCTATATTTTTATTTGCTATATCTAGTAAATACAGCTTCCAGTCTAGGTTTGATAAGTAGATAATTTAGCTGGTTATTTTAAATAGTTTGGTAGAAAAATATGAGAAACAGCAGTTATACTCATACCACTTTAATCACTATTACCTAAAAGCATATTCTAAAGCTAACTCCCCACCCCCACAAGACCTCTTATTTTACTCTTGTTCACCCCAAGAGTTCTTCCAGCTTTAAAGCCTTAATGAGGTTAGGTGAATTATCCATGTTAATTTGGGAGCTGTTTTTAGCACATACATGGTTCTAGAATATAGATCTTCCAGAAATGGCCCTAAATAACATCTGAATGGCCCTATAGTTGGTGAGAGTTTAGCACATTTCACAGCAGAGTAATGGACTTTCCTCTTAAAGAAAAGAAAAAAAAAGGGGCAAAGTAGATAATTTTAGATTCATAATCAAGGAAAACCCATCTGCTTAAAAAATAGCTCTTTCACAGTTCTAATACAGATGATATACGCATCACTAATATATTTTGAAAACAGCATCCCTACTAATAAAGCAAAAGGGAAGTAATGGAGAATGAATGGGAGCAAATTATGTTATGTTCATACAGGAATATGTGACAACCAACCCCACTATTATGTATAATTAAAATACACTAATAAAAACATAAAAAAATATAAAAAAGAAACTTTTAGTTTTATTTTTGCAAATGCATAATATTTTGTATCAAAGAAACTTTATAAATAATTTGATTTTATTGCAATTCGGGGAATATTTTGAATACTTTTGTATAGTTAATAGTAAATGATCTATGTTGAATCCCTCTCCTTCATTTTTGCTTACTGGAAACAGAAACAGATATATGTTTGTTGTAGAAAATTTATTAACTACAAATTAGTAAAAGGAGAAAAGTAAAAATTATCCTAAGTTCGATGAACCAGTTAATTCCTGTCAATATTTTGATTTCCATCTTTCAAGGCTTTTTTGTTCCTACATAAATATTTGTCATTTACTAGTGATTAGTAGAAATGCCAATATTATCTAAACTGTTTTCTTCAATCTACAAGTATGCGTACATTATATATTCAAATATTTATTGAATAAATAAATCAAATTACTTAATCAATGTAAATACAGTTTGGATGAGGATTAGAATAATATTTACATTTTAATTCTAAATTCCAAGAACTATAAAATCTGCTATAGAAATGAGATACATAAACCAGCAAAGTCATGGTAGTCTCTATTAGGGTGATCAATAAATGAGTAAAGAAACCAGATTTCTCAGTTATTTCTAGATATAATAAAATACAGACATATTTGATAAAACCCCAAACTAATTTTTAATATACAAAGATCAATTTTTTTAAAAAGTCTGTTATTAAGTCACTTTTTCCTAATTCTTTGAAGAATATTTCTCTAATTTGTAGCTACTTTCCCTGTGGCCAGTCCCACACCTGTCTCAACTCCTGTCCTCGCTTCTCTTGGAAATACACTTCTATGTTTACTGGACTTTCTTCCCATTGTGTCTCACTATGTAAAATCAAATGACATCATTAAATAAACCACTACTTTCTTCTCATGACACTCCTATTAATGGTACTCCTATTCTGCTAAGCAAAAGCACTTAAAATAAGCCATAGTTCAGATTTCATGTTTAGAGATTAAAAACAGCCAAGTTCAGTTTTCTTCTCCAAATACATAGTATTTTTTTGCCTGTAGAATAAAATTTTAAGGCTTTAGGAATATCTTACTGTAATGACAATCTTTTTTTTCATTTTCTTATGTACTAATCACTTAATACATGACTGTAGAATTTTAAAAAATGTAGAACAGCTATATAATGGTATTTGAAATCTTGTTCCAATGGTATTTGAAATCTTGTTCCATGTATTCCTTCATTAAAAACATAAAACTATCACTCAAAGCTTCTAATTAAATCATAGCAAATCATACTTATAATTCTAAGTGCAGCTTAAAAGCACACATACCACTTGGAGAAACAATCACGGGCTGAAGAAGTCTTTGCTCTGCTCCTGGGGGAAGGTTCAGTGCAATGACAAGCACTGTTCCTAGTGTTGTTCCAACCCACAGACTTGGGGAAGGGGACGAGTCCGCCTTTCGAGTAAAAGTTTCACAGAAATGAAGAGCAGAGATTGCTTCTCGTGATTCTTTGTCTATGCTTGTGACACTTGAACTCCGTGATCTGCTGAAGGAATTATCTTTTACATCTGCAATGATTTAAAATATTGTTKCGATTGCTTATTATAAAATATCACACTTTTCTGTTATAAATTTGGTCAAATAGTTAAACCTTCAAAAAATCAAAACTATGGCATATTTACTATTATTTCCTTTAAACCAAAAGGAAAATAATTTACTTTTTATGTTTGTAAAATTTCCCTTTTGTGTAAATGTAAAATATAAATAAGTAAATCCACAGTTTTCAGAACTGAGCTGGGTGAATCCCAGTGAATCCTGAATGTGATGTCTGGCACGCCGGTTGCTTTTATAAGCTTAGTTCTTACCCCCTTCTGTTCTTAAGATGCTGTTTCTTCCTTTGTTAACAATTCATGATTTGGTAGAACCAGAAAAGTGAAGGTCTTTTCAATTTTCTAGATATTAGAAAAATATATTTAGAAGTAYCCTGAAGGTAGCCTATTATGTTTTTTCAGTCTCACCATATGAGTGCTTTTAATAAATAAAAATTTAGCTTCTATTTTTCTTGAAAGCCATATTAACTGTAATCAACATTCATCTAAGGCATTTTTCTTCAAAACACATAACTGATATCTGAGATATACTTAATATCAGGCATATTCCTTTTACTTAGTTCTTTCTGTAATGACAGGAATATTTGAAAATTATACAAATAAATCTTCCCTCAATTTCAGTTCCTTTCTCTGTGGCCACTCTGAAGCCTACACTGAGATTCAATCTCACTCCACTCAGAATGGCGATTATCAAGAATATAAATAACAACAAATGTTGGTGAGGATGTGGGGAAAAAAGGCACACTCATACATTGTTGGTGGGATTATAAATTGGTGCAACCACTCTGGAAAGCTGTATGGAGATTTCTCAGAAAACTTGAAATGGAACCATAATTTGACCCAGTAATCCCACTCTGGGTATATACCCAAAGGACTTAAAATCAGCATATGATAGTAACAGCTACATCAATGTTTATAGTAGCTCAATTCATAATAGCCAAGCTTTGGAACCAACCTAGGTGCCCTTCAAAAGATAAATTGATAAATAAAATGTGATGTGTACACACACACACACACAAAATGAAATATTACTCAGCCATAAAGAAAGAAATTATGGATTTTGCCAGTAAATGCATGAAACCGGAGACTATCATCCTAAGTCAAATAAGCCAGTCTCCCCAAAAACAAAGGTACAATGTTCTCTCTGATTTGTGGCCCATTACATACAATAAGGGGGCAGAGACTGGAAAGAATAGAAGTTCATTGGATTAGACAAAGGGGAATGAGGGAAGGGAGGGAGGATTGAAATAGGAAAGACAGTAGAATGAAYCAGACATAACATTCCAATGCTTTTATATGAATACACAACCAGTGTAACTCCACATCATGCACAACCACAAGAATGGGARGTCATAATCCATGTATATATAATATGTCAAAATGCATTCATGTATAGCTAAAAAGAAAACAACAACAAAAAGAACAAGAATTGCATCTAAATCTGTCTGGCTTCCTGCTTTACCATATGATCTCTCTTTACACACACACCCTTCTACCATGATGCCATCTAACATGTTGTGATATAACCAGAAGACCCACACCAGAGCCAAGAAGATACTGGTACCATGCTCTTGAATCTCTGAAACTTGAGCTAAATAAATCTCTTTATAAAATACCCAGCCTTAAGTATTCTGAAATACAGACAATTGATAAATTATCTAATAAAACAACTCTCCATAAATAAATAGCTCATTATCAAATGAGTTTGCCATATACTGATTCCAAATATTTATTTACTTGGGATATAGTATAATGATATAAATTTCATGTTTATTTTCTAATGATAAATATATTTGTTACTTAAATAAAGCATACACATAAAAGGTAACTAGACAMATAGTTTTAGCTGTGACCTAGTGATAACAATGGAAAATAATGATACAAGAAAATCTGATAATATTAATTTCAATGTAAACTAATCTGTGAAAAAACTCTTACTGATATTTACTAAAATCACACAGGCAATTTACAACAACCTAAACTTTAAATGTTAACTCATAGGCCAAAGGAACAGTGTTTGAATTTAAGGATTAATTTGACTACATAACATCATAAATTATAATTATACTTTTATTATATGAGTTATCTATAAAATTAATTACCAAAGAAACTAAGGCTAAGTCAACAGGAGAAGATGTAATGACTAGGAATCAGACTTACACCTGCTAGGTATCAGTTGGTTATTTAATTTTCTACCTAAAACTCTTCAAAAAACACATCATAATTTTTAGTAGTTCATGAATTACAACTTCCACTTTCTCCTATTAGTTAGGTATTGTGAGTCTGTGATTTCAATTTCAGCAATTGGGAAGCTAAACAAATAGAATAGCATGCTTAATTTTAATAATTCAAGTAAGCAGAACAGAAATGAAAAAATGTTAAAATTAAGTACAGCTTAACATGTCAGTTACTGTCATAATACTATGTACTAAGGAACATACATAATCACCTTGAAAAGTATTATCATCACAATTTAACAAACAATTAAGTAAAGCACACAGAAGTTAAATGGCTTGCCCATGATGACAAAGCTAGTAAATGGTTGAATCAAGATCTGTGCCCCTGTTCAAGTCTAAAATGTTCTGTTAGACAACTATGCACAGTTTTATCACCAATATCATCTTAACTCGAAGTTTACAGTTATTTTTGAGCAGCTAAGTTCAGTCTTCAGATGCCAGAAAAGTACATGAATATGATCTTTCTGGCATATCTAAAATCAGATTAAATTTATCATTAATGCCTCTATCCAGTTCTAGCTAATCGAAGTGATGTCACAAAATCTTTGCTTTCATGCTACCTCCCAGACACTGAGAACATTCTACTTGTATATATCACTGTCTCCTCCCAACACAGAGCTGTATGCAACAAAAATTCATATTCCCTAATCAAAACAATGCCATACGCAATAAAGGTAAATAGAATATAATTATGTTTAATAAAAATTAACCTGAAATTGCACACTATTGTTTCAGTTTTTTACTCTTTAATATAAAGTATGAGGGAGTGAGGAAATACACTATCTAGATTAGCTTGAATTTGTACTATAATTGTGTTATAATTTGCAGAGTTTTCTGAAGACTGTTCCAAGAGATGCTTAATTCTCAAATAGCCATTTTAAACTTTATTTTCATTGAAAAATCTCAATCATAGTTTTAAATCTTTCTCTCTTCCCTTTTTCTATAATAGAGTGTTCAATTTCTTCAGATATTTATTTTACTTACCTAAATCAGGTTTCAGGTCAGTAGGTAAGCTTAACTTCCTTGACATCTTTGCTGAAAAATAAAATGCACTTTAAAAAATCTGAAAAATATTTGTTCTTTGATTAATACCAACTGATTTTCAAGACAGAAGTGAATACTTTTGTTATTAAGTCTAGATGCTACAATAAKTAAAATAAGATTAATAATATTAGGAGTGGAAAGTAAATCTTACTTTCAACTTTCAAAAGTTTGTACTTACTTGACATATTTATTTGTGTCCTTGAAAGTCTTACTTCAAGGAATCCTTTTAAATTTTAACATTCAATTATTGCTTAGGTTTATGGGAAAAGGTCAGACTTTTCTAATAGAAGAGTAGAAAACTCATTCCTCAGAAGGAAGATGTTGCAAATAAGGACAACAGAAGCATAAGACAAATCTTTGGTAACAGAAAATCTTTTCAGTTCCTCATCTTCACAGCTATTGAGCTCATTTTTTTAAGTTAATTTCTGGAATATAGGACAAACCTATATGTACAATCAAATCAAAGTTTGATTATATCTTAAAATACGATTCATATTACTTGATATAAATAAATACTTCCATTCACATTTCAGTGAAAACAAAACAAAACAAAAAACCCAAGTAATGTTATTAAATGTAAACTACAGGTATTTTTATGTAGTAATATAAAAACTAAAAGCTAATGCATAAACTTACTGGAATTCACTTTCCATCCTCAAAATCAGTTATTATCTTAATCTGAGAAAGGAGTTTAAAAGTTAGGAGTTGTCCAACATTAAATCTATCATGTTAGTGGTAGTGCATGCGTAACAAAATAGTGCTCCCTATATGAAATTTTGAAAAAGCATGTGTTTGTTAATACATGAATGCACATATTGGGTTAAACTTTGGACTGTTAGGAGATATTTAAAGCACAGACCCTGCTAGTCCAATAAGGGCGCCATGTAAACAAAGAGAAATCCAGTCATAGTACATAACTTCCACATCTAAAAAAACGACAAATCCAGTGTTAGGAAAGCGGCATTAGGCAGACTGGAAAGGAATGGGGTGGGGTGTGACATCACCTTTTTACTTCTAAACTTCATAATCTAGTTAGTATCCTTTAACAAACAACAATGGGTCCAACTTATTCATCAGTCATGCCATTTTCAACAACTTAGAACATTTCAGCTAAGAAAAGATGTAATGTAAAGTTATAATAGCCAAATAAAATGTATGGTTAGTTAATCTCACATCTTGACATACAATATAATTTAAAATATTTGATGTTGTTTCAAATTGTATTTGATATACAATATAATTTTAAAGAGATACATCCTACAACAGTTCTCAAAAAGGTAATATTGAACACTGAAAGAATTTAGAGGTTTCTATCAAATATAAAAGGTCCAATATACATAGAGTGATATTATCTATACAATGTGTAGGGCAGCTGAAGTAGAAAATCAATCTGGCACAAAGATTTTAGAATCAAATGATATGATGCCACCTGTGTAAACTGTTCTGAGCCTTTCAGAGTTGAATGTGCATATCCACCACTTCGGAATCTTCCTGATATGTGCGCACATTCTGATTCTGAACTTCTGGACTTTGGGTTGAGAGGCATTTCTATGGTTTGAGAGGCCAAGTTCCTAGACTATAAGCAACTTCAGGCTAGGAACCAAGACAAACTCCTGAAATCCAGTAATGCACATATAGTGAGCCAAGAAAAACATTTCTTGTACAAGTTTTAATAYTTATCTTATAAAAATGTGGAAGTGTGGTAGTTAGAACTGGGTTTGGAATCAGCTGGCTGAGTTCAAATCCAATTCAACCAATAACTAGGTCTGTAGCACTAGACCAATTACTTTGTTTCTCTAAACCTCAAATTTCCTCTTCTATAAAATGAGGATAGTGTGAGAATTATATGAAATGATGTAAGCAACTGAACATAATATCTGGCACACAGAATGATTTAATAAATGTTAGTTATTATATATTATTAATAAAAGGAGTATGGATTTTTCATAAACTGCAAAACACTATAAAAATAAGCTATTACTGTGCTTGCAAATAAACTAGTATCCCTTCATTTTAAATCTATGGTAATGCTCAAAGTAAAGATAACAAAAAATGGGGGAAACAAAACAAAACCTTTAGGACAAAAAGTACAGAATAAAATGTAACACTCTGAGTTCAACCTTTCAAATTTCAAAAACTAAATTTGATATATGGCTAAACATAGCCAAGTGATTTAACCTGAGTAATTTATGAGTAACAAGTTTATCCCTCTTTAAATATATTAGAATATGTTAAGTGAATATTTTACCATTAGAAATGCTTCTGTTGATGTTTTCATTAACCAGATTCCTGACCAAAAAAAAAAATTCAAAAAAATTGAACTTTATAAGTATATACTTTTGACCTTTGTTAGGATTTCTACTAGAAACTTTACATGGATGCCTCCCAACAGAATAAAATTGTGCCTAGCAGTATACTTAATTTCTTTATTGTATAAACATACTGAATACAAATAATCACCTTTAAATAATAGGTGCTCTCATTTCAACATTTCACTTATACTGAGAAGTTAAAACCACACTAAGAGGATTTTAGAATATATTTTATTATGAATGTCACAAACAACTTTTAATCATGTAACATATCCATTATTTCCTCCTGAAGTACTTTGCAATTACAGATCCATAACCCAGCCACTAACTCAAGCAGTGTTCAAATGACAGAAATTTAAGCCACATTACTATTTGGATATAAATTTAAGCAATTTCCTTGAATATAGAACTTGAAATGGTAAAAATACATTAGAGAATTCATCTTGGTTAGTCTGTGTTAATTCCAGCTAACAAGTAATAATTTAAAAATTGAATTATTTTGATGAGTTGAGAACAATCTTTGTTATATCAAGATGTGGACTAAAACAGTCCCATTATTAATTCACTTATTCAATATTTATTGTTCCATGAAAAGAATGTGACACAGGGTAGGGATATACTTCTTCCTCACCAGGAGCTGAGTCAATTAGAAGAGACAACTTCAAGGGAGTATAGTAAGTACTACTCACTGAGGCAAGCACAAGGTACGGTGCATTAAGCTTTTAATCTTAGCCTGAAACACTTATCTGAGACTGTGAGCTAGCTAGACTCTGATAGAATTAATGGTCAAAAAAACAAACAAATAAACAAACAAGCAAAAAACACTTCAGTCACAGTATACACACTACTTTTACACTATGTTCAGATAGTCTATGCTAATGGTGAAAAAATGCACTCTTCTTTTGCATTAAAAAGACTCTTGTTGACAATATTTTTCTAAACATTTTTTTGTTGACAACATTTTTGTTTTGAGGTAAAATTTATATAAATTATGTATCTTAAAGTATGTTCACTGTTTTGACAATGTATATACCTGTATAATTCAAATTCTTAGGGCATGACCATCATCTCCAAAGTCATACATGGTGCTTACCTCTTAATCCCTKCTCTTGCCCTTCAAAATAAACACTTTTCCCACCACAGATCAGTTCAGCTTGTTCTACAACACACATACACATACATATGAAGAAGTGTAGGTGAAAAACATGAAGCCAGAATGATTATTCCCTACCTCTGAATATAACTTCCCTATTTTGCATGGATGCCTTGAGGGATGAGGGAGATAAGGAAATAGGAGGAATGATGACATGAAGGAAGGGGAGACAGAATGGGAGGGAATTTAAATTCCTTGAGTTAAAACTTCTGCTATAAATGTGTTTGTAAAGGTTTTCCTTGAGTGATAAGGCATTTAACTAAATGCTTGCTAATTGACAGGCAGAACTGTGCAGTATCTAACACAGTCTTATTCTTCTTATGATGAAGACTTAAGATCACTGGCTTAAATCAGTACTTTCCAAACACATATTTACATTTCCCAGAATCTGATACACAGATTTCTAAAAATTATCATCTGAACTGTTCCTGTTTTATCTGCCCTACAAATTCTAGTCACAACAGTAGCCTAGAATAGCCAATCTACCTCCTTAGGGGGTCAAATTTCAATTCTACCTTGGCTCTATGCACCCTGTTCTGCAATAACAGATGTTCTGTGCCAGACAGCTGGGAAGACTGTGGTGCTTACTTCTCTTTTTTCTTAAGGATAATGTTTCTAGAATGCCTGTTTTTCAATATTTGAAAACGACAGATTCATATATTTTGATCAGTTTTTTGGCTGTTTTCTGTAGAAAGCTGTTCTAAACTTAAGGACTAAATTGAACTTCAGGCTAAAAGTTTGTATCTTTTAATTTTTGTGACTTCTGGGGAATATACTTATTTTCAAGGCTGTTTGGTCAACCTTCCTGACGGCAAATCCATAAAAGATAGATCCTCTTCTGGTCAGCCTTCATAGCTCATTCCCACAATTGGGTATAATGTCATGATGAGGAAGTTGCAGACTTCATTCAGTTTTATGATGCTCAGGAACATATGCCAATCCAGTTACTCTGACAGCTGATTTCACTTCATTTGTCAAGAAACTTCTGTACATGCTTTGAAACTGCTCATGTTCCACTGCAACTTTCACATTAAAGGCTTAAGATTTAAATGAATTCTTAGAAGACAAGTTATCTGCTTTTCTTTCCTTCCATGGTATATTCTTCAACTCTCACCCCTGAACCTCAGTATCTTCCTTGCTTTGAAATTCTTTTTCACAGGAAAATATAAACTACTCCTTTTTCTAAGCTTTTATCCATAGAAACAATGGGAATCACAGCAAAGAAGTTCTTCAACAGGAGGAAAATTGATGTCAAGAGATATGTTTAAGTAGTTGTTAATTTGACTCTGACTTTTCTTATAAACCTGAATGAGAAGATCAAGTTGTTTGGTTGAGTAAAGAGTTGCATTTTCACAGTAGAAATTATAAAGTTATAGTTGATCACAAACAATATCATGAATGTAATGCAAGTTTCAATACCAAATCCATCAGCTTTTTTGTTGTAATAATACAATACCAGAGCCTGGGTACTTTATAAAGTAAAATGGTTTAGTTAGCTTACATTTTTGAAAGCTGAAAATCCTAGATAAGGCAGATTCACTGATCTGGCCTCTAGTGAGGGTCTTTGTGGCAGATGTGAGAGAATGATCACATGGTGATTCAAGAGATTCACAGGTCCTTCTCACATTTTTGTTAACAACCCAATTTTGAGGGAACTACTTATAGTCCCAACAAACCATTTTGGTCTCTTTGGAGGGACATCCCTAACTATGCTTTGAAATTTCTTTTTTACTTTGCATTACTTTTACCATTTAAAGGGTCCAAACTGTTGAACACTGCCACACTGGGGACCAAATTTCCAACACATGAACTATTGGGGACATACTGAAACCATATCCAAACCATAAAAAAAAGAAAGATGTATGATATATAATATCCAAAAGAAGCAAATCCCCAGGCAAGGAGACTGCTTGATTGATTATACTATAAACGACAGTATCATTATAGTTGATGCTTCTTGTCCTTTGCAATTAGGGAAATCTTTGTAAGTTTTCTTAGTTGTGGTGATTCTCATTGTTTCTTTGAAATTTAACAGATATTTCATAATTTTCCTTGTTTTTCTATTCATTGTGTCCACATTTTATTTTTCTAAACATTTCTCAAAATAAAGAAAAACTTCTACTTTTTAAAATGGTACATAGCTTAACAACTACAAAAGGTAAAAAGACCTTATTTTGACAGAATGATGAAGCTATCAAAAAAGCAAACTAACTTTTTTTTTTTGGCTATAAAATGCCCAATTTGATATTTTATTTATCACAATCTCCAAATTACTTTTATGATCATAAAGGAGAAATACATTCACTGAAAAAATATTTATTCACTTTTATAAAAGTGAATTTGGAGCTTTTATTGGTTTTTATTGACTGATCTCTGAAGACAGATGAAATGGATATATATATATATATATTTTAAACTTACCTTTTTTTTATTGGTTGTTCACAACATTACAAAGCTCTTGACATATCATATTTCATACATTAGATTGAAGTGGGTTATGAACTCCCAATTTTATCCCAAATGCAGATTGCAGAATCACATCGGTTACACATCCACAATTTTMCATAATACCCTATTAGTAATTGTTGTATTCTGCTACCTTTCCTATTCCCTACTATCCCCCCTCCCCTTCCCTCA